ATCTTGGAAAAAAAAAACTGGTTTCATGCAAAGCAGTAGGACAAAACCAGAACCACTAAGTTTTATAAATATCTTCAAAATAATATTTTTATGGATTTTAAGTGACCATTGATTCTGCTTGGTGAAGCTCATCCAGACCCAACTTATGCTATGAAAAAGGTCTTGCTCACCACATTTTCCTCTGGACAGTAGGTAAAAGACACCCATGCCATCATCCAGTGTTACTCGGGTGCTACCAGATGCCCTGTTTTCCCTGGACAACAGGATAGCAACCAATGCCAACAACCCCAAAATTTCACTGTCCTTTAAGAGGTGGGAGCTCCTAGGATTACTTAAAACAATGCTGGAAGAGATATCAAGAAATCACCTACTTCATCTCTCCTTTCTCAAATAGAAATTAAATATATCCATGTCCTTCCTAGCAGAAGTTTGCCTAAAAGCATGCAAAGATGGAAAGTTTCCCAAGTCTGTGAAGGGCAGGCTGCCATGAGGTGAACTCGGACAGCACTCAGCTTGTGTTTGGATTGCCACCTCTGTTCTGATCATATCCATAAGCTCTTTACACAGGAGCAATCACTGCCTTTCTTAATGGACAGTCTATTACAGAGCTTGGCTGGAGCAGCTGTAATAGACTGCTCTGTAATAGACTTATTATATATATATATATATAGGGTCCAAATAAGCAGCAGTCCCTCAACTTCAGTGAAACAGAGTTGGAAATCAATCATGTCTACCCCTCCTTTGCAATCTCAGTGACCAGGTGGACCCACAAGACAATAGGTGCATGCAAACTTCAGCTTTGTTCTTGCTATTGAAATGCTGGGGTTTGAACTCTGAACCTCCAGAGGAGGTGAGTTTGCCTTTTAGCTTCCCCCCAAGGTGTGGCCGGGCCCGCACGGGGAGGCCGGAGGGGGAAGAGCCCCAGGGGTCCCGCATTGAGTGAACAAAGGTCAGGTGTCTGCTTGGGGATAAAAGCTGGGACCACTGGCAGGAAGGGAGGAGTGTCTGTCTGTGAAGTGGACACACTCCCCAGAGCTTCCTGCTTAAGGAGAGACCTCCTGACTGTCCCTGGAGCTGGGCCCCGGTCAGTTCAGACCTTTGCGAACGCGGGTGGATCGGGTGAGAGTCTCCATGTGGGCACCTTTCTCTTATTTGTTCAACCATCTGATCTGGCTGTTTCCCTTACCATCCATGGGAAACCTTGGCTCTCTGTTTGTACCACCTATTGTCAATCAAATTATGTCTTTTTTGGGATTGTTGGGGGTAATGTCATTTGTATGCGAACTAATTGACTTGTTTATACCCCCAGTGATCATTCATGGCATGACCTTTTTGTACTCAATACATTCCACTTATTGGTTCATCTTTCTGCTGGTTGTGCCATTTTCTTCAGGCCTAGTCACTGGCAGAACAGCTATCTAGGACTTCCTTGCTGTTCTCAGCGACTTAATGTCTAGAGGATACTCACACTGGCATTTAACTTACATCCCTAAAATACAACCCTGAGTTTCTTTATAGTTAACAGCAAGCTGTAGCTTTCTCCCAAGAATGACTCAGAATACCTAAACTGGAAGCCTATACTTCTCCATGTGAATCTAGATGGTCTCTGAAGTTAGATGGTGTGAACATTACACAGCATGCATGGCTTCTCTCTTCTTCTCCCAGGCAAGAAAAGAAACTGCCCTCTTCTGTGTGGCCCAGCCAGAGGTTTTGATTAACCAGACTCTTCTCCTCCCATACTTGGAGAGCACAAATGGTGCAGAGCCTTGCGCACAAACTCTCGCAGCTAGGCACATGAAGAAGAGGAAGCAGCATCAGAAAGATAAACCACAAGATATGGCCTGGAGGATATGAGATGTGCTGGTCTGTAGCTTTGGAGCACCCAAAAGAAGAAACTTGCATGCAAAACTCCTTTTTCAAAAAATAAATCTTGCATGCCAACACTGTGCTGCAAAACCTAGCCAATATCTCTTCCTCCAGAAGATTCAGCTGGATAATTAGTCATGTGGAAGGTTGATTTAATGGGAATTCTTTCTTAAAATCAGATTTTTTTTTTAAAAAGAGACTGCATTTTAGAAAAGTTAATCAAATTAGTGGAAAAGCAGTATATCAAAAGTGGCTGTAAAATGTATGGGACATCAAGCATGAGTATAAATCTCACTGCTTTGGTGGGCTTCAGCCACTAAGGGAGAGCCTAGCTTCTCAGTATTTCAGTCCAAATGTCTAAAATTTGGATTCAAGAAAGTTGCTAAGGAGAGGTCCTAAGCTCCAGAAAAATCCCAAAGGTGGTGTCATTTGAGAGTGCTGTGTGTGCCCAGTGCCAGGTCTGCAGCCGGCAGGATAAGCCCAGCCCTGTCACTGGGCCAACACTGCCACTCCTGCTCTGGAGCCAGACACAGACAGACCCTGGGGAAACCAGTGTCATTTAATTTCCTTGCAACCAGTTGCTTTTAACTCATACAAACTTTCCTCAACACAGCACCTACCTTTTAAAAATTTCTCCTATTTCATTTTCTCTGTTTGCATCTGACAAGAACAGAAAAGTTAAAATTCACTGAGGGGAAGAGAAAAAAACAACACACAAAAAGGAACCCTGAAGCCCAAATAACTTATGACATGAAAGCTCTGGATTTTACTAACCTTCCCGAGTTTCAGATGTCATAAACCAGACAGGTGCAACTATCTCATCACTCGGCACCCATCTGAACCTTGTTATGTTAAAGTGAACACAAATCCAACTAATACTTCCAGGTTTATTATAAACCTTCATAAAGAAATTGTCCATATTTTCCCCATATGCACGCATAGCTGTGCAGAGGCACATCTGCTTGGCAAGCTAACATGGATCTCTGAATTTATAGTTTAAGATCCTTAAGCATGATGGTAAAACTAGGAATATCAATTCCTGCCTCCAAGAGAAAATATAAATCCCTCTTTGATTGATATTGATTACAGGAAGGAAACAAAGCACTTATATTTCCACACATCACAAGAAACCCCTCCATTGCAATAAACATCCGGTTGATAGGAACATTTTAGGAAGGTAAATGATACTATATTTGTACGCAAAATGAGAAAAGAGCAAGTGCTGATTGGCCATAGAGTTCATACATCCACACAGCTTCAAGCACACCATAGTGGGCTACGAGTCTGTCAGATTCATAAACTAGAAAAATTGTATATATTAGGGTATGTCCAATGTGATTGCAATTTATTAATATCCTGCACCCTTTACTCAAATAGCCAGTCCATACGTGTAAGTCCAGTTCAAGTAAACAAATTCATTGATTTAACAATTTATGGCTTTATTTTAAAAGGCAGTGAGCCTGCAGGGGAATATCTAACATATGGTTGAAGTTAAACACAAATCAACGCAGTGAAATTAGTGGTATTGATCGCATGCTTAAAATGAAGCATAAACTTGAACATTTTCCTAGTTTAAGCTTGCCATAGAGAGTCCTCACTGTGACAGGAACATCTATAGTATGCACCCCAGCTTGGTTTACTGAAAGTTGTAGCTGTGGCTGATCTGTACAGTTGTCACATGCCATTACCTGCCCTGACACCTTGAAACCTCGACCAAAAGCCTGTCTCTCCTTCCTCAACGGCACCGGCTGGAAATGAGTGAAAACACTGATGTAGCCCCAAGTGGCCATGGTGCAGCAACTCAGCCATTATTTTATTATTACCCTTTGAAAGGTGAAAGAAAAGCCCTTCACCCTCCCCAACAAAATGAGTTTCAGCTCACCCACCCCGCAGGTCAGCAAAGAGCCAACTTTGTTACCTCCATCACTGTCAGCTTGGATTTTGTTCCCTGGTTTAAGCAGTGAGACTTCCCTTCTCATGAGCATAGTCAGAATCAGAACTGGACTCTTTAGGATAGTATAAATTATATCTCAAAAGAGGTTAAAAATTTTCGCTTCTACAGTGACACCAGCCCAAATGACATAGGAGCTCCTGCCTAAACTCACTCACCCTTTCTCTACAGCATTACAAAGCTAGTAAACAAGTTCTCCCTACATTTACAATTCTATAAAGGCCAAACACTTTCTTTAAATCATCCTCACTGCCACATAACTATCTTGCTCTGATATCTCCCCACCACACAGCTACTAGAGCTAGCACAGGTTTCCCCTTGGTTGTGTACATCCAGGACAAAATGAAGGCAGCACTACCAGAGATAAACAGAATTGCACAGAAGGTGGAACACAGCGTCAGCAAGTTACATATAAACCAAGCATGACATTAAAATGGATGTACTGAGTGCTTGAATTACACGTGGGTGAAATTTTCTGACCTAAATTTAAATGGGCTTAAAATTAGAAGTTCTACCATGTAACCAGACACAGAAAAAAGTAAAATTGCTAAGGAAAAAGCAAATGCATGGAAGATATTTGTAGCAAAAAGCAGCTGTTAAGTCTGGGGGAACTCCAGTTTTAACATCCATATCTCCCACTGATCCAAGTCCCATCAAGGTTAATGAAGGTTGCTGTAGCTTTTCTTTAAACCTCAAGTTTAAACCTCAAGGAGTCATATGCAGTTTGGCTGTATGGACAGGAAAGGAGATGAGGTTAGATACAGCCAGTATTTACTATTGAAACACAGTTAGCAGCTCTGCTGCTTGGACCTTCTCTGGGGGAACCTAGGAGAGCATGGCTCCAAAACCCTCATTCACCACCAGCTGGAGGATATGGTACTCTACAGGAACTCAGGACAGTTGGGCATCTTATGAGAGAGTTGGGTCACAGGAGGTTTAACAAATAACCCAGAAAAAGTGGTGAATATTTTGACTCTGTCTCTGAGCTTTCACAAACTAAGCCAAACCAACTTTGCAATCATCTAGGACTTCACCACACTTCAACATCAGGCACTTTACATACGTCTACAAGCGCACCCAGGTTCACATGGTCGTCCTCTTTCAGGGCCAACCCTCAGCAAGGCTTTCAGAAATTAAGTCCCTCTGGACCTTCCCTCTGTGGGGTCGTTCTCCAGTCCCTTACCTGGACAACGGGGTGACCTCCGGTGGGTGCCTTGACAGCCCCTCGGCTCCCCTCCGTCTCGTAGTGCGCCCGGTGGTGGGGTTTTGGCTGCACCTCAATCCGCAGCTCGTATGAGCCAGACTGGCTGGAGAGTGGCCACTCCAGGGGTGGCAGTGACTGGACAGGCAAACTGGGCAGAGAGACATCACATCAGCTCGAACTTTTTGGCACTTTATTTCTCAGAGCCCTTCTTCCTCCTCCTGCCCCACTGGGACTGCTCTCACTGAAACGTTTAGGAGTCTGCTACCAATTTCACAGAATGGTGGGCGTTGGAAGGGACCTCTGGAGGTGATCTCGTCCAACCCCCAGATTCACCTAGATCAGATTGCACAGGAACCTGTCCAGGCGGGTTCTGAAAGTCTCCAGAGAAGGAGACTCCACAGCCAATCTCTGGGCAGCCTGTTCCAGTGCTATAGCACCCTCAAAGTAAAGAAGTTTTTCCTTATGTTTAGGTGGAATTTCAATGAGAATATGTTGTCCTGCTTGTGTTTGATTACAAGCTCTGCTGAATTTCAGGATTATTTCTGTAGGTGTATCTTACTGTAGAAGGGAACAGAACATTTCTATTTCTTAAGCAGAAGTATCTGTAGCAGCTAGATTTTTCTAAAGGGCCCCCTCTTTTATCTAAGTTTTGCTGTGCATCTTCAACTATGATCATGGAACATATATTGTGAAGTATTAACTCCATTTACCATCACTTACCAGCTGCCCAAATCAGTAATATTTCTGATTTAAATAAATAATAAAATGTACATAAATCAAACGTTCAGTATTACCTGACACAAATAAAATGTTCAATATTACCTGATATAGCTTTTCCATTATCAAAATACACAAGGGTTTATAACACAAAATTAATACACTGAAATGTACAACTAGAGCTCGCAGTGGATTTTAAACCACTCTTATTTTGTTAGTACAAGCTGCTGCCAGGACCAACCTAACAAACCAAGGAAAGTCACAGCTCGTGTTCTTTCACTCATAACGTGTACTTAGCAGGTCAGGGGCAGCACAGGGTAACATCAGCGTGGGGACAGCCTTGCTGCCCAGCAGAATAACAGGGTGCCAGTGGTGACTGCAAGTGGAGTCACACATTTGGCAACCTCCATCCTGGCAGCCATGCCCCACTCAGGGTCCAGACCTGCGTGCCACCAGCCCCAGACAATGGATGGAGCTGACAAAGGTAGTGCCAGTGGCTGTGATTTGGGTCAAATGACTATCACCAAATTAACAACCAACAATAAGTCACTTGGGGTTGTCTTAATCTGAATGCTCAGCCTGAATTGGAGCAGCATGCTCTGTTTTATATCAGGCAATATTTAATGTATTTTCATCCATGATGGAAATTTGCAAGTGAGATATTCTGAATTTAGAAATGTGATCAAACCGTTCTCTTTAAACACAGTAGGATGGAAAAGAAGTCTCTAGCCTCTGTCAAAGGCTGTTTGCAATCTGCATTTTAGCAAATAACTTGGAATTTGAATTTGTTGCATGCTATGCTATCAATGAAGATGTTTCCTTCAAACCCAGATTTTTTTGATGTCTTGGAATCATAAGGGATCGTGCTCCCATTAACAAGTGCTGTCCTTGAGCACTTAGCTCTGGTCTGCAGCAGGATCTGTCCAAGAAAACACTTCCTAGAAATCACTAGCATGACAGAGGACATCACACCATGAGAAAACACTCATCCACAAGAAGCATTACATACCTGCAGATAGGTATTGCAGGCACCAGTTGCTTTGTCCAGGATGGAGGTACCAACAAAATTGATTCTGGGGCTGAGTTTCTCCTGTCCTCCTGCTCACAAGGCCCATGGAAGTCAACAGTCTGAAAGACGTGACATGGAATGCTGTTTTTGTGGGAAGGCATTGATGAAGGATCAGGGTTGGTTTTCCAAATTTTCGTGGGAACACCACAGGAAGGATCTGTAGGAAGGCTGCTCATAGCATCCATGGAAAGAGAAGCACTGGGCAACTGTGTGTAAGTAACTGAAGAGTTGTCTTCTCTCAGGGGGATGCGAGGAGAGGAATGTGGAGAGGGGGTCCTTGACTGTCGTGGAGAAGTGGAAGGCAGTTGAGTACTGTAGAGCTCAGTGCAAGAGTACCTCCGTTTTGCACCTGGTGATGAAGACCTTGAGCTGGGACAGGGTGATGGTGAATGTCGTCCCAAGCAGGTTTCCTCTGTGATGCTTGTTCGTGGTGACATTATTGGAGAGGTTCTAGGAGAATAATGAGTATGGATGTTTTGAAACTGTGGACAAAGGTCATCACTAGGACCATTATTTGGTGAAACACATGGTGACGTGCAAGGAGATACATTTGTCTCTGAAATGAAACTTGCAGAGGAGCCGCTACTAGCTGGGCTCAAACACAGTGGTTCTCTGTAGCCCTCAAAGCCAGGGACAGGCAGGGTAACCCTTGGGCTAGTGGTAGCTGAGCTTGACTGATGTTCTACCAAAAGAACATCTGTGTCTCTGCTGCGGAAGGGACCCCCTGAATGAATCAGTTCATGATATGGAGTAATTTCAATCCTAGGGCTCGGAGCAGAGGCCCCTGCAGCGTTGGCAGGGTGTGTAGGTGTTGTCCCTATGCTATCTGGCTGTCCATATCTGCCCATGGGATCTGCAGAAAGGCTAGAAAAAGGCAGGGGGCATGGCTTGAGGCCACAGTCCAAGACATCATGAGCGTATGTAACTCCAGAGGGTGGGCTGTTGGTTTTATGTGGAGTCGGTTCTTCTGGAAAAAGAAGGGTCTCTTTAAGACTATAAATATTATTACAGAAGCTGAGCAATCATGGATTAAAAAAATGCATATTTATAAACTGGTTGTGATCTGATACTAGGTAAATATTTGTTTAATTATTTTAAACTGCAATTAATGCTTGTGAAAATACTGGATTAACAGCCAGGGAAGCTCAAGTGGTCAGAGAAGATGCAGCATGGAAAGAAGTACTGCAAACACCTCTGCACCATCCAGCCAGGTACCCACCTGAGCCCTGAGCTAGAGGGATCACCTGGAAGTGTTGGTGCCAAGTCAGCCCCTCTGCCCAATTAAATGCTGGTCTTCCTACCCTCTCTGACAAATACACCCCTTAGTGCCAATTGGGGTGTCATGACTTTGGTCAACTTCTGCCAACAAGGAGCTGGACTGAGACCATCCCATCACAAAATCACTTCCAAATAGCTGTCTGTTTTGGTAAAACCAAAAGGTTGATGAGCAGCTGTTGGTGAAAGGACAAGAATCTTTCCCACATGGCAAAGGCCAGACAGAAAAGGCTTCATGAAACCAAAGCTGAGCTCAAGCTCTTAAATTTACAAGTCAATTCTGTGTGATGATTTGTTTGGCTCCATATCATGTCAACAAGTTTGGGTGACAGTTTTTGCATGAGAAAGCAACAGATGATTAGAGAACACATTCACAAGTATTTATTAGAAAAGAAAGAGAGAGATAGAAAGAATCCAGCCCCACAGTTACAGGCAATCACTTCCCCATTTCAGCTCAAGGAACATTTTGGCCAGAGAGGAATTATAAAATACACACAAACAGGTAAGTTTTGAGTGCAATCCTCTCTCCTGGTGCAAAAAGTCCTCAATTTTCAGTGATTCTCAGGCCTGCAAACCATCCCCTGGTCGCAGAGTATCAGTATGCTTTTAGACAATACAGAATTCCCACCAGCATCACTGAGCCCAGTTCTGGTCTCATCCCAGCACCCCCTTGAGTGCTTAATGTCAGCAGCATCCAAGAGAGCAGGGAATGCCAGGCATGCCCAAAACAGACCCCCTGAGGCACATCAGCTCCTGTAGCTTCCTCAGTCTGGGAGCTGAGTAATATTTGTCATTACACAAAAGCATGCAAAATACTACCAGGATTTTTATGTGTTTTTAAAGATTTCTGTGTAGCCAGCAGGAAATATCTGAAACAGCTCCACAGTTTGAGATGAATTCACACTATCTGCTCAGCCATGGGCACAGATCAGTACATGTCACAGGCAAAGAGGGTTTCATTTCAATATTTAAATAACTGTTCTAGCATTTTCTCTAACTCCAACACTACATGAGGCAGCATTTTGTGTGAACAAAGAATGTTGTACATAAAGCCAGGTAGGGGCTGGCTGTGCTTTCTGTAAAAGTAGCAGGAACTTATACACACAGAGAGATTGTGATTCAGTTTCAGGGTGTTTCTGTTCATCTACAGTTTTTTCACACTTCTTAGTGTGAAAGCAGAACCCTCCAGTGATTTTAAACTACTACTTTTTGTACTTAATGTTTTGCATAATCTGGAGGAAACTCCATGAAAAGAAAAAAAAAAAAAAAAAATGTAGCAGAAACTGCTGAGCCTTTATGTTTAGTGGAAAACCCCAAGAGCCAACCAAACAAACCAACACACAGAACGTTTATGTGACGGGATGGGAGACAACTGGGAGAGCCCAGCTTGCAGATTTCTTAAGATTCCCTCTGGCTTTTAATCCCAGCACACAGCTATTTTGGGGATAGGGAAAATAGCAATGAGTAACCGAATTTTGAGCTGAACATGTTTTTAGCATCGTTGATCTGGAGTATCAGAGCTTTGGCATTCACAGGGGATTAGTGCATCTTTCACATTACTCAAACTCTAACACATCAAGTCTAGACACAGAAGCTACGATTCACTTTGCATAAAGCTCATCACTCCTTTGGACTCAATAGAGCAACACACCCCTCCACAGCCACACAAACCATCACCCCTATCACTCCCGGAAGAATCACTCCCATCTAAACTGGTGCAAGGGAGCAAAGCCAGCACAGAACAGCGTGAGGCTTGATGCCAGGATTCATACAGTAACCAGCAATCACAGAAGAGCTCTCCAGGCTGACCAGCATCACACCATGGAACAAGTGGCTGTTTCAGTTCCCCATTCAACACATCTACAGCAAGAGCTGCCCCCATCATAAATGTTAAACTGCATTATCTGTATCAGATACACAGGCAAAAGGTAAAAAATTAAGACTTCTCAAAAACTCGTTGAGCAGCAAAGCTAACATGCATAGATTTGTGCTGAGAAGTATAGGAAAAGCAAACATATCTGTATGTGCATGTGTAATTTTGAAAGTCTTCTGAATTACACACATCAGCACCCGCACTTTCTGCCTATAAAAAAAAAATTGGCTTTAGATAACCTAATTTTTCCTTGCTTTCTCCCGAAATTGTGCATTTAAAGGAGCACTTTCATCCTTGGCATTCACCCTCCAGGAGGATCCACATTCCAGCCAGTAACACCAATGTTTACCTACAGGAGCAGGCTACAACATGCCCTTGCCTTCCCACAGCGCCTGCAGGCACCCTTTGCCAAGCAGGCAACACCCACAGCCTTCTGTACAGCAAAACCCTTTCATTCCCCTTCCTGCCCCCGCTCCCATGGCAAATTATCAATCAAGTAGGCAGCAGTGCTGGAACGTGGGCAAGACACAAGATGAGAAAACCTCAGCTCGTTTCAAGAGCGCCTGGGGAGAGACGCCCAGAGGTAGAGGCTGCGTCTGGGGCAGGGAAGAAGCTGCCAGCTCTGACTCATCAGCACGGCTTCATCAGGACCCAGGGCCTAGATCTGGGGAGATCTCCCGACCGAGTCCCAGCCCTGCATAACTTCAGAGGTACAATGAAATCACTGTCCCAGGCAGTGCTGCCCACGCGTGCAGCCTCCGGTCTGTCACCATGGAAATGCCGGTGATGCTGCAACGCAAAGCTCTGACCTCACCAGGGGAGGGAAAGGGGTGGTTGGGTGAAAGAGCAAGTGCTGCTCTCCAGAAATAAGTGGTGCTCCATATATATCAGGAGAAACTCTGCTTTTTGCTTCAGTAGGAGGGGAATGCCTACTCTGCTCCTGGACAAGTTATCTGGGGTTTGGAATCCACCCGAGGAAGAGGCAGACCCAATCCAACATCTCAGCTGCCCCAAGTAAGCGCCACAGAGTTTGGTTTTCCAACAACGTCAAGCTCCTGCCCTTGAGAGGGGCAGGGAGAGGTTGCTCCCCAGCAGCCCAGCTGCCTTCTGCTTCCAGAGACCAGTGGGAACATGGAGCAGCCCAGGGCATGGGAATGGCTCTAGGTAGATGGCCCAAGCAATAAACGGCCCATGCTTCTCTCTGGGCTATCAAGGTGAGCTTGGTTCGGGTGCCAGGAGCTGAAGACACCTTACACTGGTGGCCCTCTGCCATGCTGTTGATGGCAGGGAGCGGCCCTGCCACTCTGGCGAGGATCTCCAAGTTTGTGAGAGGCCATTGCACCCCTCTACAAGAGAATTATTATGCGACCAAAACCACCTTTGCTAGGATGATCCAAGAACTGAAGCAGCTTTGAATCCTTTGTGCAGGTGCCCCAGAGGTACAGCTTTGCACCCACAGCTATACCATCTTCAAGGGTTCATCTGTCCCTATACATTGCATCCCCAAAGACAAACTGAAATACTTCTGCAATGGACCATCCTCTTCACTGCTTTTCTGATGTACACCTCAGCAAGCAGCACAGCTCCTTTGACACCCATGCATGTTAAGAGTCCAGTTAGAGTGCTTCCCCACCTCCCTTCACTCAGGCACTTCCCAGCCTGAAGTTTCACTTCTGAATCATCCTCTGATTCATTACCAAAATAACCTCCTTGTTTGAAAAGAGGTTAAAAGAAAGCAACCTTTCCACCCAAGCACTGGCATCTCCTCACATTCTCAGTCAGCTTCACCGTCAGCAAACAGCATGCTCCCCTCTATTTCCCACACCTTATGACTATGCAAGTCCTACCTCCACCAGTATCCCACCCAAACTGCCTCCAAACTGCCAGCTCTTATTTCCCTTTTTTACCCCAAAGCCTTTACCCGTTTACCAGTTCACAAGAGCATCTCTCCTCTTCCCATCAAAAAAAAACGGAAGCACCCCACCATGTTGCAAACAAAGAGCAAACCAGCTTCTCTAGACACCCTCAGGAATGCTGCAGGCAGCTCCACCAACCCTGTAGTGGCTGGGCAGCTTCCACAGGTGGGAACCTTCAGGACTGCCAATTAACTGGAGGAGTTAAAACAGGTGAAGATGATCAAGGGATTTAAGTTCTGAAGGCCTTAACCCTCGATTCAAACAAAACAAAACAGCACTTTTCCTCTGAAAAAAACTCTGAAAAGCAGAAAGGAAAACCCACACCAGCTCCTCTTGGGCTCCCAAGCTGAACTGGACACACACCAGCGTGTGTGCACATGGCTTTGCAAGGGCCCACCCTCCACTGGTCTTTAAACAAAGCAGTAACTTCAAAGCCATTCAGTCAACCAACTGTGACCTTGCCAATTAGCATGAAATTGGGGAATAATACATCACCCCAGCAACTACATCATTTATGAGAAGCTAAAGATAGCCACGTGTGGGACAAGGGAGCACAGGGGGAGAAGGTCAGTTTTGACCTCTCATCCATCTGGATTGAAATCTCCCCCTTGGAATTTCAGTGGAGTTCCTTATTTGCTTATGAATCCAATTTTTTTTAATTATTAATTAATAAATTTATAAATTAATAATTTGCTTATTGTCATTTGAATGAGCCAGTCTGGAGGGTTTCTGCATTTTTCAAAAACTGAGTTGCCTGTAAATATACACTAGCTGCTTGGAGGCTCAAAGTGAAAGCTGATTTCCTGAGTGAAATCTGGTATTCTCTGTTCCATGTACATGTTTCTCTCTTTTCTGTAAGGCTGCTGCCAAACACTGCCTCCTCTGTTACTGAGCCAGGCACCA